TCGAAAAAGTGAGCAACAGTTTTCCAATCAGAAAACATCATGACGTCACTTAATTGATTCTTTATTCAATGATGTAGTTATGATACAATTAAAACTGCCAACCGGTATGGATAATCTTTATAAAATATAAGTATCATATCATGAAATAGGATGAAACCTGTTTAGTAATGCTTTTATGGTTAGGGTTTAGTGATGATTTTCTAAATAATATTCCGAGCGTTTCGAAAGGCATTCCCTGCTTCCAACATCAGTTCGTGTCAGTGGAGTTTAACATATAAAAGATCAACCTCATTGATAAGCATGGTGTTAATATCAAATAAAGTGCAAGTATACAATCCCTGACCTCGTGTGTTGACCTAATGACCTGAATTTAACGGAGAGTGTAATTTGTATATTTATCTCTAATCGATTGTGATTGATACAGGTGTGTATACAATGTGCATTCATTCCATTTCGATAAACATCATAAAGCGTATGATATGGAGTTATGATAACACATTTTAAACATAAAGGTCAATGTTTTCACGGCTCGGTTATCTGTCATTTATAGAAACAGAAACACATAATGCTTTGATAGTCAAAGGTACAATTCAATAGACATATACAACACATTCGGCTATACCTTTAGCAGTACGGGGAAATCATATGACAATGTACATAATAGTAGGATTATTTCTAGTTACGTATCGTTAATATCAGCTGTGTATAGTTTACACAATGTGTGTTTTTATACTGATGACGAATTTAAATGTATGTGAATAAAAAACCTAATATTTTGATTTTTATCAAAGTATCGGTATATCATACTGATAACACGATTAATAAATACTCTATTCGCTAAAATTCCGAACAATAAATGAAAAGAACCTGAATTATTCTTCTAATAAATTACTTTTTAGGTAATTAAAATATATCATCGACAGCACTATAACGTGTGGGTTTTCTCCGGATGACCCGGTTTACTCCAACATTAATAACCTCTGTACACTTGTTTAATATAGTAATATAACGTTTAATATAGTAATATAATGTTTAATATAATTGTAGAAATAAATCTATTTCATGTTTCTAACATTAAAACCATATAGCTAGTATCATTCTCTTGGGATCAAAAAGTGTTACATGTGTACATGTGTACGTATTTAAACAACTATAATGCAATAAGCTTGGCCACAGATGGTGACGAGGGCAGAGTGTGCATAAACATACACTGCAGTCTTTGAGGGAGCGACACTTATTTATCATAGTTCACGACAGGGTGTGGTGGGCCGTTCCAGAAAAACCAATATCGAGTATGAAATTATAATCACGATAACACAAAAATATGGCTTGTTTGCTCAAAAGATTTATTAGATTTGAACTCCACTTAAGCAGCAGCAAATAAAGCATGCTTTCTTAACCAGTTCTGGTATTCACATATCGTCCGACACGGCGTCCACACCTCGGCCGTTATGTACCCGAATACTGATTATCGAAACCTAAGGAAAAGAGCACCAATGTGTAGGTTAAATGGGAATGGGGATTTTTTGAAACATTCTGTTCCTAGTGTCACTAATGCTGAATAAGTCTGTGATACAAACAAAATACTTTGTTTATTTCAGGCTTACAAATCAAAATGTCAACTATTTGTCACAAGAAAAATGGTTATTCTTATATTATCTGGTAACATATTGTGAAGCCGATAAATGTACATTTTAGAAACAATTTAAAGGTACGCCCATAATTCAATAGTTTTATCATACCCTTGAAAACAATTTGGTCGCTTAAAATAAGCAGTTTTATTGTTTCTAGAATGTTCTGATAATACTTTATTGTCATTTCTGTGTATTTAATTGAAATGCTTTTTCCGAAGATATCAATAAGTGACACTAATTATTGATTTATAGCGACAGTGTAATGTTATGCCCTATTTCACGTCAAAAGGACCGATATTAATAATTGACCCACCGGATTTCTGCAAAGGAAATGAGATATAATAGCACTTTGTTGTTAAGAAAATAAACCATCGAAAAAGCATTTCTGTCCATTAATGTATTATTGTCAGCTACAGACATAATCCCCATTCATTGTACAACTTCCTGTGCCACGTTAACAGAGAGTTGTCCGATTTGGCAGCATGGATATATTATGATGATAGTAATTTATACCTATGCATGACACAGCTTTTTTATGATATTGGCTTTGTTTTGCCTTCGTAATGTATTGTTTATTATGACGTCATCATTTGTTGCGTTGTATTGTTCTCTTGTCAACGTGATTGCTTAAAAACATAAACACTTACTCCGTAACGAACCTCCTATAAAGGCCTATCACGTTGGTTTTAATAAAAAAAAAATATATATATATACAGACTAAAAAGCATCATCAAGGTAAATTAAGTCGACCTTTGCTAACGTTTCACTAAGACTTCATAAGATTAAATGTTTACAACATAAACACTTAAATGTTTAAAACATAAACACTTACTCCGTAACGAACCTCCTTTAAAGGCCTATCACGTTGGCTTTAATCTTTTTTATATATATACAGACTAAAAAGCATCATCAAGGTATACAAAGTCGACCTTTGCTAACGTTTCATTAAGACTTCATAAGATTAAGTGTTTACGACGTTTCAGTGATGAATACCACATATTAATTAGTGTATTCATGTATAAAATGTATAAAGATAATGCTTTATTAGAGGGTAGTTCTGATTATTGGCTCTGTATATATCGTAGTGTGGATGAGTTTAGCAATAGCGATGTTATGAAGAGATACTGATTCCTGTAACGTTTTGAGAGCCATTATTGTAGCATTAATTCGTGGAGACAATCATTTTAATTAATGTATCGATGTAAAAAGAAAAATGAAACTCAAGCATGTTTACTAGATCGTATATTTCGGTTCTTGAATCAATTAGAACAGCGAATACTAGTTAAATCAAGTAAACAGCTCATCAGATATATTAAATACTGAAAAGTTTCGATCTGCAATATACCGGTCTTATTCTTCTAATATCGTTACATAACCTTTGCTAATATTAAATGTGTATATCATAAAAGGACACCGTTATTCGTAGCATGGAGATAAAATGTTGGCATTGGATATCAAAGTAAAGCACTATCAATTTGTCCCATATTTCGGTCACCCTGTGTCACTGATGTTGGGAAATACACACAGGCCCAGTCTGACCTACAATAAATCGCTTTGTAACTACTCGATAATGTGGAAATTATCCCAATACAGTGACAAAAATATAAATACTTCCGTTGTTACACGGCTCCCGTATCGGTACAGATCAATATTTCTTGTTTCTTTTGTGATAATGATAAACTAGAGGTTTTACATTCCAAAATTACCCATTGTTAATATTCCTTGTCCGAACACTATGTAAAACATAACCACCGCCAGCGTCGGTAACGGTTTCTCTAGTATTGGCTGTATATTGTTATAGTCGTATTTTCGTTAGTATGTCAATACGCGTATACTTAGAAGATGAAGTATTGATATTCATTGTGATACCTTGGTGGTGTAAAGTCACATGCCAAGTTACAGGGCGCATGGCCTTTCCCTTCTTATTTCATTCATTTCTATTTTTTTCAATGGTGATGATTATCAAAAGTAAATTTGAATAATGAAAAAGCATTTTCTGTTTTTCATCTCTCGCAACGCTTTGATTTCTTTCGGTTCTGCGGCATTATTTATGTTGCTCCCTTTTTTTTATTATTTTACCCAATTTCATTGTATTTTACTTGTTTACCACCTCATATCCCGAAAACCCGAAAGAGGAAAGCTCAGTCTGAGCTGTTTGATGGTGTTGTCTCAAAAGCGACAAATTTTAGCGACGATATTCAAAATTTGCTAAATGTAAAGTTGCATGATGTTGAGAAGAAAGGCCGTTTGTACACGTGTCCCTCAATTATGCACTAGACGTTATCTTATGTTGGTTCATAATTTGGTACTAAAATATTTTTATAGTATGCACCTTTTCCTGACATTTTTTTCACTTTTTTTTATCTTATTTACGAATATAAAATTCAATTGCAAATAAATCACTAGTTATAAAGATGCCTTTAATATTGATTTGGAGCATTTACTGAAGACGATATTTTGTACTTTTATATTCATTACAATATATATCATTTACAAAAATCGATTTTCTGATGTTTTATAAAAGTCTTTACAATAACAAACGTCAAATGATTGTATTTTTTATTACAGTATATACAATTTACAGAAGTCGTTTTCTTAATTTTTATTACAGTATATACAATTTACACAAGTCGATTTTTTGTATTTTTTATTACAGTATATATTTACAAAAGTTAATTCTCTGTACTTTTTATTACAGTATACAATTCCCAGAAGTCAATTTTCACTACTCGTTAGATCATAGTATTAACTGTTCACAAAATTCGATATTGTGTACTTCTACACACCAGCTTTTCGATTAGGAGATGGATCATCTATCTCTCTAGGGAATGCTTAGTATAGGTAATTAAAGGTAGATGAACCCGGGCATGCAATGTATCCCGAAATAAACAATCGGGTACATACCCATAAATAACATTGTGTTACGATGTGACCGATAAATATTTTTTACCTAAAGACGATAGAGTAGTTTTATCAGACAACATCTGTGAATGCTAACAGTTTATGTAGGGAAGCTCACAACTGTTACTTTACTATTTTGTACCAGATATAAATTAAAAAATATATACTAGCGACTGTTTTGGTAGACCTTAAAGACTGGAGAGAAAGGAACCGAGTGAACATTTTATAAAGGAATGTATTGTTCTTAATATATCATTTGTCAGAACAAAATGGACGAGTCCTACGTATTTATAATGCATATATATAGTGTACATACATTTTATTTTTCAATATTTGAATACATATATACGTTTGGATATTTGAATCATTAACTCCTTATGAGTCTAATAGGATAAAGTCTTTAAGAAATAAAGACCACTGGATGTCTTTCATCTTCAGTACAATAGCATTATTTTGTGCTTGCAGACATGAGACGTTTCACTTGACTACACGATGTACTACCGTAGCGTGGAGAAGTCGGACACGTACCCTCGGGTACTACAGAGACGATCCCAGTCGGCACGCGAGACCTACCACCCCTCCATCACAGACCTCAGCGAGCAGGCACTCAGGCTCCCTAACGGCTTCGGCTCAGGTAATCATAGGGGAGGTTCAGAAACACAGATAGACAAATAGAACAACGTAAACACAGTTGGTCATATAGGTGCTCCATATTACAATAGTTCCAGATAGCAATAAAATAGACCTTAGTCACAACATAGTTATCACTGACAGACTCTAGTCACATCATAATGATTACTGGAAGTCATATAGTATACATATTACCATAGAGCTGTCCTATGTTCCCAATAGATAGGCGCAGATACCATAAAGAAATTCAATATTACCATATTGTAATGATAGATCATACAATGTGCTCACATCTCTTAAACAAGCGCCAAGTAATTCTGTACAAGTTGTATGTACATTTTGTAGCACTATATTAGCCTCACCCTACGTGTCACGAAACACCTTTATGGAATTTAAGTTTGTAATACTTAAATGTAACATATGATCATGTTGTCATTTAGGACGCATCAGTGTTACTTTAATGTTAAAAGATTAGAAAATGCATGTCTAAATTGTTCATAACATATGCAGAAATACAGCAAAGCGAAACGTTGCCCTTTTATACGTTACAAATGAACAAATTTTGGCATTGACAGCCAAGTTATTTTTTAACTTGTATTGCATTTTAACGCTATCAGAATAAAATGCAGCAACAAGGTTAAAACATAAAGATAAAAAGATGAAATCGCATTAAGGTTTTGACAGTTAATACTTATAAGAGATCGAGTACTCGGGGGACCCATATATTCACTCCACTTAGTCATATAAACACTCGTTTTATATTGTATTGTCCACATTATCAATCATTGGGTATTTATTGTTTAATTAGAACGAAGAATATTTCAACAGACAATCAGTTATCCATTGTAGTCTAACTGTACATCACTTCGCACAATTTTCTATTTGTATTTGTATGGAGCTGGATGGATGTATACAAGTGCTATTCAAACAGGTGATCCGCCAGATATATTGATGATCTTAAAATGTCCTGGAATAGGAAGAACTTCGAGGACTATTTGCTTCTCATTTTTCTTCCAAAAGCGAACATGAATATACCACAGCCGTCGAGTTAACTACAAATCTTAATTCTGTTCCATACATGACAATTATGCGCACCTCAAACTAAACCATCGCGAAGTTGTCACTTACGCCAAGTTTCTTTTTCTTGTTAATAAGAACTGTCACCCATTGATTCAATTTCCAGAACCTATTCTGATTGGCGACTTATTTAGGTACATTTTTTTTATTTATTTTTTTACTTTATTCATTCGTGCATTCATTCATAGAAGAAATGGGTTTTGTTGACCAAACATCTATTAAGCCATGAGTAGCAGTGTGTAGATGAGCGGCTTTCATCCTTTTTTGAGGAAACATGGGAATAATGAGGTTCCAGTGTCTACCACGATAAAAAAAATACATTTACTTTGTCTTCGATCGTTTGTAGCCTACATAATTTTCTAATTTCAAACGGGAGACATAATGATGATTGATACATTTTTTGCTTGAAAAGTTTTAACGATTTCTCACCTGTGGCTTTTTATTGGAGTTCACAAAGCTTTTTTGTTTTAGTATACTCAGTTCCTATCGTGGGTAATCTCATCGACTTAGAGTTTTGCCCTTCCTTTTGATGCTGATTACTTGTTAACTTATTTGTATTTAACATATCTATAAACTATATCATATCAGGTCATCTTCCTATATACAGAGAAAATATTGGCCAAGATCATAAATCACTTATATGATTTGTAGCAACAACATAATAGAATTGTACTGATATGACAAACTTTCGTAATTTATAAATCTGACAACTTTTTTTTTTATTCCAGACGAAGAGACTAGTATTTACCCATTAACCAATGGACACTTCGGTGACCGGTCAGTCAGACTTGATTTGACGAATGAGGAAACCCCCTCAAGAACAGATGACTTGCCTAATGGAACATTCTCTGAGGTGAATGGCGGGAATTACGTGAACAATACGTCAACATCCCGCCCACCTAGTATTCGAATACATTCTACGAGGCTCCCTAAGGTTCCCGACGACAGTTACAGAGACAGAGTGTGTTTGTCAGCCAATAATCGCCATAAAATTGGTGGATATTACCGACGTCCGCGCAGTGTTGAAATCGGGCGACTGTCGTCTGCCCGCTCGCCTCGTACTATTCCCAGCGGATATTCAGACACTGATATGGAAAATAACAATTTAGTACCACCTAACTTCCTAATTAGGAATTCATGTTCTACGTCACTTAACACTGCCAACGCTGTCTCAAATTTAAAGTAAGGCCTGTTTAATGATGGGTTTTTTTGTTCATTTTACAAGACAACAATGATAAATGTGAAAGCAATCTAATATAAAGTCTTAATTATGTTCAAAATAAGTAATAATTCGTCATTTACATTTCGCTTTTAAATTCGTAGTACGTGTATGTTTAATTTTGCAATATCATTAATTTCATATTTCTTCCATTTATTGTTTTTTAAAAGATTCTCTATTGATGTGTTTCCAGGAAAAACACAGATGACACTCAGCAACGGCCACAAAGCAAGGGGAGATCACCAGGGACTCAGCTATCTAACGGTTGTGAAGAAAAAGTCAATGGATTTCATCAGCACTTGGTGAATAAACATCCTCTTCTGAAACAACGTATATCTCGTTGGTTGACAAACGGAATAAAAATTCAAAGTTTAAGGTCGAAAAGTGTTCGCAATATGCCAGGTGATTGCCGACCGTCTTCCGAACGACATTCCTGTAGCCGAGGATCTCGAAGGAAGTTTTCGGAACACAATCTAGTTGAAGAAATGAAAAAAATAAAATTACGTCAGCAGAATCTTTCGAATGAAGTGGAGCCTTGTGATTCAAGTGACTGGGCATTGACATCATCACTAACAATCACAAACCTGTCCAGGGAAGCAACTATGACGAATTCGCATAGGGACATTACTCTGACAAACTCAAATCATTGAAACATTATGTCAGTGTATGCATAGCATTATTAACAGGAACGCAAATTTTGGCTTGTTAATTTTATATTAATGACAAAACATCTTTTTTTTTAAATAGGTATTTATCAGAGCTGACGATGTGCAAACACCAGACCTTGAATGTCGTAACTTTGACCCTATAACGACGACACGTGTATTCTATGTTCTAGAAAGACAAAGAATGTATTAGTTTTGGAGAATTTACAGAGGTCATAATTTTGATTTAATTTAGAAGACCTATACCTGGCAAGATAAAGCCGGTCCAGGATGCGAAACTCAAAAATCAGATGAACTTCAAGTCATTACATCGTTTATGCTGATAAAATACAATTTGTCACCACGTGACGAACGTGAACTAATGGAATTGCTAGATTGTAGAAGATGTGTGGTACTTATTTATTAGTGTTGTTAGATAGTGATACGCACTTTATATATACGCATGTGATGCATCTCGCCACCTATCGTTATACAAGTCACTTGTAGTTGTTTTGTATAGTAATGCATCTCTATTTTATTCATTGAAGATTTTTGATAATGAACACCATTTGTATATTATTATTTTAGCATAATACAATCGATAATATTAAAACATGTCCCTCCTTAATTCTGTAGACTGCTCGGACTGATATCAAAAGAAACCTAAAACAGTGTGTATGTTATTGATTGAAACGTAGAATGTATTCATACATTCTTATATTGTGAGAAAATCAATCTATACGATGGAATATTAGGCAACGAGAGTTTCGACAAAATATACAAAAATACCTGATGTTGCTCCTATCTACTTCAACCTGTTTGATACGTTAATGCAGTCACTGGTAACCCGGTTGTCCCACTATGTAACCTACATTACAATCTGTTTAGTCCGGAGAGAGAGCACAGTACAACGGTCCTCAGCTGTACATATACATGTAAATTATATCTCTATTGCCTATTTATTCATTCTGAAATTCTGTTTTAACCCTATAGCTACTAGAAATGATACATCTATAATTGTTCATACGTACAAAGTTGTGAGAGGTTTCCATAGCTCACATGTCTGGTACAACATTAACACACTACCAGTTGCATACCTTGTGAAAATAGAACCAATTAAAACGTTTTATCGGTGTGTTCAGTAAACGAAATGTGTTTATGGCGTATTTTCAAATACTTTTAAGTCATAAAAAGGAATGTTTCCAAACAGTATTCATCCTCCCAACGTAACAACTAATTGTGGTTGCTATGGATATCTCCTTTGTTGGTTGTATAGGTAGGACATTAATACGTGTATATACAGTTGTGTAATTATTATTTGTTGCTTGGTCACTGGTAGTGTCTCTGTTTCGTTTTTATATTATAGAGTATTAATAGCATGACGTGTATACACTACAGACAATAGCATGACGTGTATACACTACAGACAATAGCATGACGTGTATCACTAGACAATAGCATGACGTGTATACACTAAAGACAATAGCATGACGTGTATACACTACAGACAATACCATGACGTGTATACACTACAGACAATAGCATGACGTGTATACACTACAGACCCTTTCACCATGTGTCGCCTTGTGTTTGTGTAGGTCATACCATTACTCGTTACCTCAATTTATAGCGATGACATAAATTCTTTACAAAGCAGTATTGTTAAAGTGAATACCGAATATTATAGTCGTGACTATCACACTGATTCTTTATAATATAGTACATACTGAATTATACAATGATTACCATGGTGATCAATCAGAGTTTTTACAAAGCAGTGTAGATATGCTTCCTACTTAGTTATACAATGGTAGTCATGATGACCATACTGAATTGTACAATGGTAGTCATGGTGACCATACTGAATAGTACAATGGTAGTCATCGTGACTATACTGAATTGTACAATGGTAGTCATGGTGACCATACTGAATTGTACAGTGGTAGTCATGGTGACTATACTGAATAATACAATGGTAGTCATGGTGACCATACTGAATTGTACAATGGTAGTCATGGTGACCATACTGAATCATACAAATGTAGACATTGTAATAAAATATTGCTTCATGTTTGGTAGTTATCTTTTGTTCATTCTACTACAAAATGAGAAGTTTTGTCAAAATATATTATATACTTTTATGAAGAGAGACACTACACAACTTGATTGGTTTTGATAGACATTTACCAATTAAAAGATTATTAAGGACGAATAAGATACTATAATATGTAATGTTTAGTAAATTACCCCCCTTATGTATTTGTTTTCATCACATTACGTAAACAAGGCATATATATATCTGGCGTATCTTATAAAGACTATTTATATTTACTTGATAAAGTATGTGCAACAATAACGATCAAAACAGAGAAAAAACAACATAATTTGATTTAATCAAGTTACGTTTAATCTTCGTTTTAAAACTTCGTCATCATTGGCGTAAAACAATTTAAGAGGCATTGACATCATTTACGTTTGAACGCTGCCTTTTCAAGTCTCCTTTTCGAATTAAGATTTGAAGACTGAAAGTTTCATTGATAGAGATCATCTATGTGGACCTGGGTCACATTAAGTAACTCCAATACATCACACTGAGACCTTAGATGGCAACATGACCTCGTGTTTTGTCATCTACGTTTTATACCGTTGTGTCTTTTGTACGGACCTAACTTATTAACCACAGTCGTTTTCACACACACTATCATATTACAGTAACAGGCACTACTGCTTGGCATATTGCTTTGCACTGCACTAAGAATCCAGCAAGTTATCAGATGAATAATTGATATGAACTGGAGATAAATCAGACAGATAGGTATCCTACTGACCTACACAGAGGTAGCCCGGTCCTACTGCCGGTAACGTGACCTTTCTATTGGTAGATAGCTAAGCTTTATTGTATCTTTATATCACTGACAGCGATACAGTGTTGTTATGTGACGTATCAATTTGGATTAAAGGAGAAGTTATAATAGGTGAAATATTTCAGATTCAGATGGACATCGTTCCTTAGACACGCCAACAAACGGAGGCAGTACCATAGAAAGGTCAATACAGAAGTAGCGTTCCACAGACGTGCCAACAGATGTCCTAGAACATTCCTGGTTCTTAAAAAAAACGCAACTCATTTTAAGTGTGAAACGAAAACAAAAGAAATATCAATGAAAATTGTAACACCAAGAACATAAATAGTAAGTCAAATCTCACATAAAATTAAAACACAGGATCCTAGGAGTATCAAAACAAACAAGGGGCATAACGAATACGAACATAACGTTTTGAAATTTAAAGAATCAGTCCGTTATTACCAATTAGATATGTACATGTATGCGGGTGTTTTTCTCCCTGCAGTATATTATATCGTAGAAGAGGGTGTAAATACACCGTGACCTATATCGGATGCAGTGATTAAGTCAAGACAAACTACCAAGTGTTGAGGTCGATTGTAAGACATGTGTTTTGAGATAAATTAAATGAGGTCACAGTGATGAAATATCTAATAAAATTATACTGCCTCGGCTAAGTGACTTCTCCTCTAGTGACCTCTGTATTCCCGGGTTCGACTTCTAGATGAAGAACTTGAAGAAGAATACTCAGTTTAATATACAATAATAACTGTTACAAAATAGCACTGTACACATCTAGCAAAAAGTAATGTTTTGTTTCCGAGCACATATACTTTAAGGGGAGTAACTCTTAGATTAGTTGCNCACAACTAAAGGCTATTTACAATTCTAGCACGTCGGTGATGTTACGACACTTAGGTACCAACATTTAGAGAGATAAGAACACAACTAAAGGCTATTTACAATTCTAGCACGTCGGTGATGTTACGACACTTAGGTACCAACATTTAGAGAGATAAGAACACAACTAAAGGCTATTTACAATTCTAGCACGTCGGTGATGTTACGACACTTAGGTACCAACATTTAGAGAGATAAGAACACAACTAAAGGCTATTTACAATTCTAGCACGTCGGTGATGTTACGACACTTAGGTACCAACATTTAGAGAGATAAGAACACAACTAAAGGCTATTTACAATTCTAGCACGTCGGTGATGTTACGACACTTTTCATCGATTAACCAATGGTTTAGCTTTGTTGGGTGTTGGAACGCATGCTCGTGCATGTCTAATCATTTCCACCGACACCTTAAATAAACTGACAGGCACAGGAAATTCGATTGATGCGTCAAGAAATTATGGTATCAGCTGTGTGTTTGTTGCAATGAAAGTGAGGCATCACGTGACAAATGTTAACAGGCGCAAAAAACAGCCTAATTTGAATAATCGGATTATCAAGGGCACGTTGTCTTGTAAGCACTGAAGTAAAATGAAAGTATATTCAATTTCATTTCCGTGTGATAGAACAGATATAATACAATATGTGTGTAAATTATGTAAAACATATAAATTGAGAATCGAAAATGTCATTAACTCGGGATGAAGCGGTCTCCGTTGACATTTTCTCATCGTTTATTGCACAATGACACGCATGCATGTGTTGAATACTTCTTAAATATACTCAAACAAATGACATCACAACATCAAATAGTAACGTACATACAAGCATACACATGTAAATAAAAACACAAGATCATGAAGTTCATACAGCTTCATTGTATATACACTTCTGCATACACCACAAACTAAAATATACAGAAAAGTGTAAAAACTGTTTCACATAAAAAAAATAAAGCTAGCGGTAGCTAGTGTTCCTTTATTTATGAGACAGTGAATGCTGCAAGTGAGAAACAAAACGTAGTACATTGAATGCTATTTAAAACACTATTTTCTTGACAAAAAATATTGCTTGCCCATCAATCCCCCTTAACTTTAATGTTGTAGAAGTTATCGGTAAATTTGTCTTTATTTCACAGGTTTGGTGTGCAATGGAAAAAGAAAAATTAATAAGCATCAACATTATTAATATCATGGCACAAGGGGGACCTCGCAAATAAGCTATCAGTTCTACATATATACATGTTGGTCGGCTAAAATGCCCTGTATGTCTAAGGGAACAACGATTGACAGTCTCGTTGTTGATTGTGGTGATAGTCAAAGCATTGTATCAGGTTTTGTTTTCATTTATATCTGAAGATCCTGTTTCAATGACACGTGTTTTTGTGTTTTAACTCCTAGCATTACAGATAACATTTTCAGCAATTTGTGATTTTTGATCATTAATCGCTAATCTGAGTTCCATAAATATTCCTGCGTCATATATGTAACAAGAGGCCCATCGGGCCTGCATCGCTCACCTGGTATAAATCTCACACTTGTAACCTTAAAAGTGATCTAAAATAAAGCTACAGGCAAAATAAA